AGTGAATAAACATTTTCTTGATTCTAGTTCTAGAATAAAAAGAATGCGAGTAGTATTTCAATCCACTGAGAACGTGTTAAATGAGAGGTCATGTATCCATGAAGGAGAATAAAAAGAAGGTCTCTTGTGGGCATTTCAAGAGTGAGAAAATTTGAAGTGGCACACTCTTTCCGAGCTCAAATAACGAAAAACTGAAAACACCAAAAAGATTAAAAAAATCTTACAAATCCTCTCAAATTTGAGAAGTCCTGGAAAAAAAACTAAAACTAAAGACCTAAATTTAGAAGCCCCAAAACCAGCTGAATTTTTGCTCAGCTTGACAGATTACTTTCCTTTAGGCAGTTTGGCAAAATCCTTTATACAAATTTGAAGCCAGAGTCAGGTAGACTGATCAAATCCTCCCGGACATTCATATGGTTCACAGATTACCTTCTCAGTGCAGTTTGTAAAGTGGAAATGAAAGAATTTTTTTTATCAAGGGGATATTCGTAGTTTTGATAAATCAGTATCCATTGTAATTAGTGTAAAACAGAACTTCATCTTGACCAGAAGCTTTCTTCTCTTCCTATTTTAATCCAATAAGCCAATGTGAGATATTACGAGGTTAATGGGAGTAAACATCGGTTACCTCATGATTCAATGGCTTCCAGAGAAGGTCTGAACCGGCAACAACAGCCATCTGACCAACACAGGCAACCAATAAGTCATCAACTTCATGTACAGATGGTACATTGGGATAATTTTCAATGGAAACTGGGGGTTCAACGACAAGCTGTGACACCAAGGGTTTCAGCAGAATCTGTGGAATACATACGAAGATTAATATTACTAAATATATTAAATGTAAAAGAAATAAAGAAAATTCGGGAACATATAAGGCTATGGAAGAATGCGAGGTATGTAGTAAGTTAAGTTGATTCACGATTTTGTACCCATGACATGGCAAAAAGAAACTAATGGTATCAAGCTCACTTTCATCTTACAAAGAAACAAAAATAAAATCTTTAGTGAGAATTGAAAGTTGCAGTTTTGAATTTAGATTCGGTTTCCGTTTTTGTCTAAATTGTGAAGCAAATAATGCAGAAAAAACTGCATCACGTGCGAAAGTGGGAAACAGCTCTTACCTGAAAATTAGAAGAATCCAGAAATCTTGAACTCCCGGCATCATAGAGAAAGCATTTATGTAGAGAGGACAATATCAGAGAACGGATATGCCACACTTGAATAGATAGTGCACCATCTGTGTCCTTCTTGTTACTTTGAAGCTTGGCCTTCTTCTTCCGAGTCGCATCAGGTTTTGCATTGTCAGAGTCAACGAGACCTCGAACACACCCGTCAAGCAAGTATTTAAAGTATGGGACAAACAGTGATCTGATAACAAACAAAGCAAGATGAATATTTCATTTTGTAAGAATATATTAGACGAGTAAAATTTGTATGCAATGAAAAAGGATTTATACAAAGACCCTAAAAGGAATTAAAAAAATGTAGCTTCAACATATAAAACAACAAAAATCGTTCAGTAAACAAACAGACAATAGAGAAGGGTCCCTATAAGAGATGCTGGACACAGCCAAAAGAGAAGGGTTCTTATAAGAGATGCTGGACAATATTTGCAACCAAAGTTAGAACAGCCCAGCAACCATTGGAAAACCAAAAAGCACAGCCACATAGATTATTGCTGGAACTCTAGTTTGAAACTTTCCATGTACATAATATGGTTATAGTGGTTTAACCAATAAATTACATAGGCACCTGGCAACAGAACAAATGCATACTTCATAACTGACAACAAAATATTTGATTCAAAAAGACAGACTTGACAAGAATTACAAAACAGCAGGAAACTCTAAAATACAGAAAATGCTACTGATGAGGAGATGAAGCACAGAAACCTAAGCATCAAGCTTTAAAAGATTTATCTGCACCTTAATCAGAGACCAACCCTAACAAGTCAAGTCGAGCTGAGAGGAGAATGCTCATGGGATGAAATTACTACTGCTGGTAATTCAGATATAAGTAAGTTGCCACAATATCCCCAAGTTTTTAGTCAATTTTTCAAAATCAGAAAATGGAAGCCCGAATATGCTACACCACGTGTGCAATCATGTTTACTTGTTTTTGTAGGTGTGCTCGTGTTATATTCTCAGATGCATTCCTCTTAGCTTTTGCGTTGACTATATAGGCATCGGTAGTCATCTACCTATGTTTTGTAGAAATATAAAACTCCCACTGAATATGAAAAGTAATAACAGCTCTATGAAAAGCTAGTGGAAGACACTCAGATCTGCTCAACATATCAGTCGTCAGCATCAAAATCCCCATAAAAATAACATTCGAGAAAGTGGTACTACTTTAACAACTCACCGATGCGTTTCAGCAAGTTTGTTGACCAAATTGTAGAAAGAGATGGTCCTGCTATCAGCTTTCTCAGGGGCATTTTCGTGACCTTCTAAATTCAAACCTGACCACTCGACAGTCTTGATGAAAAGAGGCCGGAACATAGTCTCAGTGAGTTTCATGGTAAGTTTGACGATAGCACTGATGACAGTTTTCTCAACGACATCAACATTCTGAACAGAGGAGGGGTACTGATTACGCAGATCAAGAGCCAGCAGGCACAAGTCAAAAACTTTTGCATGATGAACACCAATTGATGATTTATCCATTGAAGACACCAAGTTTCCTAGCATTTCGAAAAGAATTGATAAACTTGACTCTCCAGCTTGAACAGCGTCGGAGTACATTAACAGCATCGGTGGGAGCAGTAGACGAACCTAATAAATAAAACCAAAATAAGTAAAAACTGGGAAGGCAGCTTTCAGCAAGAAAAAGATGGAGGGCCGATTACAGATATACTCCCACGTGATAACAAGAAGAGGAAAAGACATGTTTTAAGTTACAAAGCCCTATCCATTATTTTATTATTTATTTGTTTACTTATTTATTTTTATAATTACAGGTTGCAATCTCAAGTTCAATGTACTTGATTGAGAAATTGAGAAATACAAATACTTCAAGGCAGCCCTTGTAAAACCTTATTGGCAGACAGGAAACTTTACAGATAGTTGGACTGTTTTGCAATCAATCTACACGTCAGGGGTATGATTTGCAATTATTCCAAAATGAAGAGAACTAATGAGACAAGACAAGAGAAGTAACGAACAGGGATTTTTTCAGTAATTAGCTTTCGCACGACATCAGCTTTCGATTTCAACTTCGGCATCGAGATGCTGAAGGACAAAGGATGCAATAAAACTAGTCTTAAGATGTCTCCAAGGTAAGGATTCAAAAATCCAGCCAGCTTATCAACAACAGCCTCCAACGTTAGAAGAGCACACATAAAGACAGAATCCACAGAGTTTGATTTAACTTTAACACCATCAACTGTTCTCTTGATCTCTACATCCACATTGGTAACATCACGAAACTTCCTCAGAACACATTCCATGACATTGGGGAGTTCGGGCAGGGACTTTGGGCCGAGTGCGTTAACTAAAGCACCAGTGGCCCGAAGACAGTGACTAGACAGAGCAGAGTTATCAGAGCAGATTTTTCTGCAGACAGTTCCAAGGCACATGCTAAAAACTCTATAATGTGAAGGGAAAGTGTTAGCTACAACTTCCAGTGATGAAACTGCTGTCAGCTTCAAAGAGGTACTCAACACATCATCTTGATCATCAAGTAATTTCAATATTTCCAAGCATAAGGTCTCAAATGATTCCAAAGAAGCCACATCCAGGTTCAGCCACAAGTTTCTTAAGCTTGACATCGAACCCTTCTTCTCAACCTTCTCATTCACAGCTAGGTCCTTCATGGTCTCGCACAGAAGCCCAAGGGCCTGTTGAAGAGAAAAACATTAAGGATGAGATAAACACCCGAGCTTTAAAGAAATTGAATCGTGCAAATTTGAAAAAGGAATAGAATGAGTCTGTCTGAAAGCCAATACTGTACCTTCTTCCTCACATTCCTATCTGAATGAAGAATCAATTTAGTGATGATATTGAAGTATGTTGATGGCAAGAGTCCCTTTGCAATCGTTCTTAAAACAGATCGAATATAGTCCTTCAGTTCACTCTTGATGGATGCTGGGACACCAATATGTTTCTTTTTAAAGTCAACCAATTGCAGGTGACGCACAACTAGCTCCATAAGTTCACCTAACATAGCCTGCAAAAGTGATAACAAGTGGATTAAAAAAATGAAAGATTGCAAATTTATCTTTTCCTGTTACCTTAACACTAGTAACATAAGTACAATTTACCAATTCCCAAAATGAGGATCCATTACTCAAAAGTCTTAAACCCAATCAAAATAGCTACTTATCTCATAATGAAAATGTCACCTTCTCGGTAAAACGGAAGGATCAACGTTTATCAGTTCAACAGTCTAAGAATACTTATCCCATAAATCACCTAAAAATTCAAAATGACTAAAGCATAGCACTTGAGCAACTAAACAATGTTAATAGTCTCAACCAGCAGATAATGTGGAAAAACAGTATGCACTTCACACCTGAATGCCATTTAAATCTTCTTCGGAGTCAAATTTGTAGGTAATATCTGGATCCTGCAGCTTCACTGAAACTAACTGCATTGCTACCAGTATTTGGATAAATGTGTCTTCGCTCAAAGTATCACTTTCAACTTTCTGAAGGGCTAAGATGACGGAAGGAAGCCAAATTTTGCACGAATACTGCTCACAAAGCAGCAACGCAAATTCATACTCCCACTGCTTACAAACAATAAATGCCAGGTCTTCGAAAGATTGCTCATTAACAAGGAGATATAGCTCATTCTTCCTTGAAGTCATCGAGTGGAAAAGGAGGAACAGCAGAGAACCCAAACTTTGAGCCTCTCCCAGAGTCCTGTGAACGAAATATAATCAGCAGAAACTAAATGAGTAGTAGATTCAAAAAACCATTATGACAAACTTTAGTTTGTACCTCAGTATGTGTCCTATAATGGACAGCCTTCTATGTTCTGCAACTTGGGGCAATATGTTCACAAATATCTAAACAAAATCAACAGTTTAAACAGTGAGTAAGGAAAATAACGGCTAAAACAAACCTGACTGATTCCATAGCGGAAGTTAGCTGCAGAAGATTTTACCTGAAGTAATTGGTCTGTCTCGTCAGTCCTAGATAACCAGTACGGCATTATCGCCGATATAAGGCCTTCAAACACACGTTGGGAATAGGTATCCCACTGCAAAGTGCAAACACATGCAATTTCTCTTTTTCAAATTCATATCCGGTGATAGATGGTATGCACAATATACAGATATTATGTTTCAGTATAACCCATTAAATGTTTGAACCATTAAATCATCTAAGATACAAGATGATGATCATACATCGCAAACACTAGCAGCAATGTTGACAGAAAATCATAGTATTATGTTACAAAAATGCAAAGTTCAGCAGTCCAAATTAAATTAATACAAAATAGTTTCAAAAAGGCAGAGAATCACCAAACTGCAAACATGCACAAACAATTGAAGAAGTCAGAGGAAATATACACATACACACACACACATGCACAAAGAAAACCCACCTGGGTTACAGTACACTCTCCAATTGCAGCTAGAATATCCAGAATTTGTTCCAAAATTTTGCCAGGTGTAATCTTTACAAGAGTAGTAATCAACGAGAAGACATGATTCCGTGTAACGGCATCACTTGAAGAACGGGCACAACTGACTAACAATGGCAAGTCAAAGTTACAGTCGATATCCTGATATGAAATACGAGCAACTTTTGATCAGAAAGGACCATTCGGTGCATGATAAGCATACAAAACTTAAAGGGAGGGCCAAAACCTTCTGCATCATATCATCTCCAATGGAACTGCTTATATCCTCCAAAGTTAACAGCAAAGTCTGCTGAATGTAAGCTACAGTATCAGAAACAGACTGGGGGGCTCCAAATGAAGCTTTGGACGCTTTATCTTGGTCCACGGCTTTAAGGATCCAATCCTCGTCCATAAATAACAAGTTCAGCAGCTTAAATAAGGGACCAACAAGTGAAGTTCTACAAAAACATGAAGTGGAATCATCAGGTTAGATAATATCAGCCATAATACAATCAGACTGGTTGATAAAAGTAAAGCCAAACACAACTGCACAAGATTTAATAGCACACAGCACATTCACAGCAGACCTGTTATCTATGTCTTTCTTCATTAGCAACACCTCAAGAAAAGCGCTCAACAGAGATAGTGTGCTTTCTCTGCCCTGAGTTGCATTGCTATATGGACAAGGATCCTGGTGTTTGGCTGATCTTCTTTGTTTCTTCCCATGCACCAGACCTACTAACCAAGTTCTCTGATTCAAAATGGAATCAAGAACGCGTCCAAAAATTGAGCAATCCACCTGCAAAGTTTCAAGGAAAGTCGCTTTTCTGACATTCAAACCAATAAACTACAAGTTTTGGCACTCGCCAAGAATCATCTCCAATAACATAATTCAATGATGAGGCTTCCATGCTCCTCGCTATAATAAAATTCCATTGCATAATTCACACACAATATACTCTCAAGATATACAAAGCATCAAGTATTCAAACACAATAAAGAAAAATGTAAGAAAGCTAAATATAACTGAAATATTGAATCTGATTAGTACTGAAGACCAATATAACAAAATCATAAGGCAAGATGCATAAAATTATCAATCAAAACACGAAAAGGGTGTAAAAGGGATGAGGAAAAACAAAGATGAGGGGGCATACGTTAACTCGCAACAATGCATCTCTACTGGCATTCTGTAAACTAATGTTGGCACTTCTGAAAAGAACCAAAAGATTTCGGAAGATAGCTTCCTGCAGAAACATAAACCACACAAGGGGACAATAATGAGATATGAATGATGGAAAATCATGACTACATTGGATTCTTTTCTGAAGGCATACATACACATACATATACATATACATATATATGTGTGTGTATATATGAGACCTTTTTTATCATAGACAACAATATCATTTTTCTGTACAGGTAATTGCACTTGTGAGTAATCATACAGAGAATAGACATCGAGAATGATGTTCATCAGATAAGGTGCACAAAGATGAATTCTAGGACAAAAATGAGAACCAAAGATTTATTGAGTGGAATTATATATTTTCATCTTGAAAAACTATTCGAGTCTAAGAAATTTGTAAATTAAGTAATCTAATACTAACGCCTGGTGTGTCAAAAATCATACCTCTGAGCTTGAGTCAAGGGAAATCCACTAACTTAATGGGAATTTTGACCTAATGAAACTGTTACATATGAGAAAAAAGTCTTGGCGACCAACATTTTTCAGAAATCGGTATAATGAAATCTTCCCTAGCTATTGTAGGCGAATGTGTAACTTCTCTCATACACTTCTACAGTGCCGATTTTTTAAATCAGCCTGAGTCGATCACAATCAAAATCTTTTCTGGTTAATTTCGAAACCCAGCTTAGCCAGTTCAATCAATCAAGTGAATCAATCAAGTGAATCAAACCCCCACAACTCAGTTATTTATCTTACTAACAAGTAATGTGTTCACTCATCTCCATTTACATAAATTAACAATCAGTGAAATAAGCATGAAACGAACACCACATAATCAGCTTATAAGCATGATGTTTTTCTTAATCAAAATAGTTTTTCTCTATGCAATTTATCAACCAGACCATATCATAAATGCAAAACTCAGATTCTGTACGAAGGGAACCTGATACCAACCTGAATTTCAGTCTTCAAATCTCCATAAAAGGAACTGCTAAGAGTTCTCAGAATTGTCAAACATGGCTCCTGAACTGCATATTCTTCAGAACCATTGACCTGAAATTGTAACACCAAGAGGACCTCAATATGAACCTTGAAAACTTGAATATATTAAAAAATAAATAAAAAGCAACTGCAAATGCTTCTGACCTGTAAAGCTTTCAATATGAAGTCCCCAGAATCATTAGCTTCATGAGATGAAGTTGGCCTAGTACAGCTCTGAAACATAAATTTATAAATGATGGGTAATCCTGAAGTTTTTTGAATAACAAAAATATCTTGGGACCCACCTCTAATAAGAGGCACAGTATGTCAACTTCATTCTGCAACAACTTTTGACGTGGTTCGCCAACCCCAAGACAATAACGACGACTTTCCAAAAGGTCATTTAATAGTGACCTTACCCCAGAAATAGACATGAGTTTACCTTCCACGCCTTTGATCAGAGACAGAATTTTCAGCTGCCAAGATCACAAATAAAATGGAAGCAATTCCTCAGTCGGCAAAATGGATGATGCAGCTAAAATAACTGGATATTCAATCTGGATATAAGGAACTAAAGAACAGAAAAGTAGTTATGGAAAGCACACCTTCGCATGGGCAGGCAGCCCAAGAGCGCGGCTGACCATGAAATTTAGGATTTCATTTTTGGTGGACCCGTCAAATCTGAATATTCATGTAAAAAACACTAATGTTACAACACAAGCAAAGAGAACGAAATAAAAGAATATTCATTTCCTGTAAATAAACATTAATGATCCAAAAGTGAGTGTATCCTATGCATTGAAAGAGAAAAAAAATGAAGGAAAAGAAAAACTGGGAGAAGAATTAGAGAACTTTCCAGGTCGATAACAGTTACTAAACTATTCACACATCAGAAGATAAAGTAAAAAAATTAGGGGGCTGTTAACTTAATAATAAACAACTATCAATCCTAACCTCTTCCCGACAGCCTGTTGGACCAAAAGGCCTTCAGAAGGCGAACTGAGCAATGAAGTGAAGAAAGAAGCAAGAACATTTCTATCTGACAATATCATCTTCTTTTGCTGAATAATTAAGCTCAATAGCTCCCCCAAAAACTGCGACCAGGATTCCTTGTTGCCTGCAACATTATTGAATTAGATTTTCAGCTTGAGAAATCTCGTAAAAATTCCACAATGCCACTGCATACCTTTTGAACTAATACGGGACCATAATGCAAATAGCTCTTCAATGCAGCTCATGGCAGCCACACGTACGTTCTAGTAAAATTGACAATATTAAGGTATTAGAATCTCGAAATTTCAGAAGGAAATACATAGGACAAGAAAATTTGCAGCTAGAAAAGGAAAACCCTTATAAACCAAGAAAGGGATAATCAAAGTCAATCACTAAGCACGAGCAGTGAGAAGCCATATAGAAATAATGTTTCAAAACCTGGCTATCGCTTGATAGGGGAACAAGAACAGAAGGAAAATCTGCAAGGAGCTGTAGGGCCAACCCCTCATCTAACTGAGGACAAATATTTGAGAAAGAGTGAAGGCTCTCAATTTGAGCAGCATACGGCACACCTGAGAGTTCAAACCACATTAAAACAATTAGCTAACCACCCTTAATACGGTGAAAGTACTTTCTGTGTTAAAAAGGAATTCATGCCCCTCCTAGAATACCAACAGAAGTTATTAGGTCATAGGAACTCCATTCATTTCCAGAAGACTCCTTTTAATTCAGCGTCCGAAGACCATTTCTAACCATGCATGACTAAACAGGTCTAAGAAATGCTGTAAATCCCAACTCTACTTGCATCAATTCATATAACAAATAGCATTTCTGTAATGTATCACAGAGGTGAGATTAGTTCACACCCCTGAACTATGATATCCACATTTTTTAAGACAATGGTGATGAGAAGATAAACAGATGAGCTCCGAATCACATCGAATATTTTACATACAGGATTCTGTTGATGAAATCATGTAATTTCCATTAAACGGAGAAAAGCATTTAATTTAAAAAATTCCACATTCACATCCAGCAAAACACTCAAACCAATCATAGAAGCAAGTGATTCCCGCTATGCTGAGTTTTATTTGTAATGTTTTCTCAATACCAAATACATATATTATAAAAAAAATGTTGACTCCCAGTTTCACATTTTTAAAATCATCATATTTACAATATACGACGCTCATCAGTCAGATCCAAGAGAACAGTCAAGAACAAAAAAAAAAGGGAAGTTAAGAGTAGAATATATATAAAATATAATAATAATAATGATGCCATTGTAAACCTTCTTCTCTGAATAGTTTCAACATTATTTGCATTAGAGGGGTCTTGGACATGGTAAATAGGTACTCCAATTGTTTCTTGAATGTATGCTTAGAATGACAAGCAAAGAACATAAATATATCCTGAAGCATGGCTGCCCACTTCCCCTCCATATCCTGCAACAAATGCAAGTTTAGCTATAAAGGAACATATAAGAGATACTTAGTACTAAAACACAAACAATCACCAACCAACGTCACATCCTCGGGTGCTGTTACAATCAAAGCTTCTGAAAACCTCATAAACAGACAACCAAGAATCTCAGCATTAAGGTCTTTGACGTCAGTGTTGAGAAGATCTTCTAGGATTCCTTTACAATCAACATCCAGTATTCTTTTATTGAACTGACAGCCATAAAATGGAGCATTAGAAGTTACTCTTTCAATTATAAAATGGAAACAATTAAAACGCAGCATAATAAAGGGCTATACCTGCTCTGTGGATATCCCTAGAGACTCTAGCATGTTCCACTCATTTTGAAGAGTTGAAAGACAATGATCAAAAGTTACAGAAAGTCGGCCAACATCTGACATATCAAAGAGAACAGACAAATTAACAAGTACCACCATAGCTGTCTTATTAGAAACATCACTACAGAGCAAATTTATGATTCATGAACTCAAACCAAACAAAGAAATCTACAGGAATCAAATAAGGGCAATGCTACATGTACAATTATAATTGACAACATTAGTTGACAACACTAGTTATCACAATCATTGAGTCAAATCTTAACCATACATTTATTTGCATCTCAACTATCTACATCATGCCACATCATCTTGTCATAAAATGTTGTACAAAATAATTGTAGAAGTAGCTTTTTTCATCAAATAACCGGTTCAGACATCGAACATAAATCCAATAATAGTGTACATCTTACTATTGTCAACAGGGAAGCTTAACAACCTAATTGAATCTAACTGATATATGGTTTACGTCTGCTGGGGTAATAGGACGTTTCACTAAAACACAAAAATGCTTAACGAATAAAGCAATAACATTTGTGCATTAACTTCTAGGTGATAAATGGGCATGGGTAGAACTCATCCTCAAAAGCTAGATGAAAGGAAGAGGGTGCCCAACCCTCACTTATAAACAATAAGTCAAGAACAGCCCAGTAACTAATCAATGTTGGACAACCATAAACTCCTAACACTCGCCTCACCCGCAGGGTGCCAAAACCAACATCGCATCCAAACAAGCAAAACCTGGGTGCTCTAATACCATGATAAGTGGGCATGGGTAGAACTCATCTCCAAAAGCTAGCTCAAAAGGAAAAGGTGCCCAACCCTCACTTATACACAATAGCAGCCCAGTAACTAATCCATGTGGGACAAACATAACTCATAACACTAGGCAATCCAAAAAGGTGACAATTACCAACATACATCAGGAGGCAACAGCAGTCAATACCAATAGCAAGGGTATAGACTGCCAGATACAGCAGCATAATCCTTTAAACCAAGAAAAAAGAGACTTTTTACCCATTTTCAACATCTTCAGTGACAGCAACACAACCAAGAAGAATAATGTCCTTGAAAATTCGTGGGAGTTGCAGCACTGTACAAGCCAAGGCATGTAATCTTCAGGGTTTAATGAAAATGCCTCTGCTAACTTAGTGATATTCTCCAAATTAATAGAAGATACGTGTAAAAGATCCAATTTCTGCAACCATTACAAATTGAAATCACATGAGCATACTGAATAGGATACTGTTTCTGTTTTTTAAATGCTTAAAAGGTAAAGAAGCGTAAAACCAGAACCATCTTTTTAAATAATTATATTTAGCGGGCTATTGTCTTGCTGAACAAGGTTGGGTCTCTCTACAGAATTGTAGTTACAATATCATTGATATGCAGCATATTTAAACGTATAATATTACATAGTTTTTTTTCAAAGTACTGCCATCCCATAAGTATAAGCAACATGCAATATCTTGCCACTATGCAGTATATTCAAATGTATGATATTGCATAAAGGTATTTTCCAAAGTACTAAAATTCAAATTAAATGTGCAACAAAACAATATCTTGCAAAATCGCCTTAAAGGATTCACATTTTGAGAAAAATACTGCCTATGTAACAAGTGAAGAAGCCCTGAGTAATGCAGGACACATAAGAATACAGAATTGGCAAGTTTCTCCAAAGTACAAGTTTACTGCATACAAACTTCTTATTTTACCAACATTATTCATATTATATTACTATCCTTTCCAAACTCAGCATACTATGCTGAATATCATCCACATGGCCAAGCAAGGAGAATAAGAATATTCTAATCAGATGAACAGTCACAGAAGATGAGAAGAAATTACTACCAACATAAGATTGTTCAATCAAACTAGTTTTTAATTGACTTAAGAATTAGATATCATTTATCTCAGCTCACCAGGGAATTCTCCAGCATGCTGTGAAAAGCTTTCTTTAACAATCCAAAAAAAAAAAAATCCACAAACAATAAGGATGCATGTGGAAAGGTACAATTCGTATAATCATGCTCTAACAATAATAAACCAATAGGATGAAGGAAGTATGCCCATCAGAAAAAGGTCTTCACATCACTGATTTACTTCCACAAATAAGGAAGAACTACTATAAAATCTCACTGGCAATGATCAAGAAAGCATGAAAGAGTCACTTCTTTTCTTTCGTCGGCTTAAAATGTATGCTTTATCAAGCATCAAATGACCAAGTGAAGATATAAACACCAATACAAAATTATCAGCCTGGTTTTCCTATCTGGTTACCTTATCAGGCCCTTGGAAAATTACAACATTCTCATAGAAAGGCCACCCTATATCTTTAGCAAATTCCAAGGCCTTCAAGTTCACTTTCTGTGTCTGGTTAAAGCCACAAAAACATTAAAAAAAATTAGCTAGAATGTTAAATGATTTGATAGATCATGAAAACATCATTTTTCTGGTAATAAGCATATGAAAATATAGGTACCTTAGGTCTAATAAGAAGAAGGGGGAAGATTGCTGTTGCTAATGTTTTGGCATATTGTTCCTTATCCTTGAAAGTTGTCATAACTTGTTGCAGGCACAATAAAGCAATATTACTGGGGAGAGACGTATTTGTTAACGAACCTGTAAAATGATAAGCAACCAGAGAGAGTAGAACATGAGTATCTTTAAGATAAAAAAAAATAACATGTAATCAAAGGGACAGGATCCCCAACTCCCGCAAAAGTATGACTCTGTTCATCCCAATCACTCTTCAGTGTATTTTCAGGTATATGAGACTAAGCCCAACCTTGACCTTATAACACTGCACGTAAGATTATCTGATTATCGTTGCTTGAACTCTACAGCCAAATATCAAATGCCTAAACAAGAAATAAAATGGAGGAAATATATATTTGTAGTTGCTGCTTTTGTGCAACATATTTTCTCTCCATACTCCATAGCCAAACATCAAGCTTCCGTACTAACACCACTTCGTCTCACTAACTTCAGCTTCACATTAGGACTTCGTACTCGGGCTCATTCCACTTCAACACCATAATTATCATCTAAATAACCCAAGAAGAACATAGAGATAAACCACAACCAACATGAAAGAAATCTCATTCAAACAATCTATAACCAACTATAACATCTACGAACATCTAAATAAAACCACCTAAAATCTGCATGTCTGTATCTTCATTTATCGATTGACGGATTTTTTTAAATAATACTGTAACATGTAGAATAGTGGACAAGAGAAATTAAAAAGAAACAGACAATAGCTAAAATAAATTAAGGAGCTACTCACTTGACAGCAAAATTTCGATGCACCTTTGAAGCACATGTTGAAGTGCTTCAACTAAAAGTGGTGAACTCAATATTTCAGGTAAGTTCTTCAACTCCAGAACTGCCAGTACGACGTTTAGGTCGTCATCATAAAGGCGGCGAATAAGTGTGTCTTGAATAGCATCAAACTTCTGAACAAACAGTAGAACCAACATATTATAGCACCATAGAAATAAATAAGGATCAATAATTTGAATCTAATCACAGAGGCTTACAAACTTCAAAAAAATATACATAGCAACTGATAAACTTCTAATTTGAATTAGTTTACAATTTGGAACATTATAACTTAGAAGTACAAGTATCGCATAAGCAGTTCGTAACAATATTGAAATCTGGTGCGCAATTAAGATCATTAAGTAATGATACAAAAAACAAAAGACATAATGCAAAATATGATACTTTCACACACCAAATGAATTCATGTTCCGAGCTACACAAAATTAAGTTTGTTCCGACGTGACGTAAAGCTGAATTAAATTTGAAGGTTGCCTGTGCTAGGATCTACAATATATTGAACATCTCGCAACTAGCCAACAAAAAGCCATAGTGATTTACAACTACTTCTAACGGCTGCCAAATAAATTGGGTCAGCACCAATAAGACAAGAAGAAGCCACAAACAAATGCTGATAAAAGCTTTAGGTATAACATGTTCCTTGAAAGTGTATAGTTTCTCATTATCGGTTTCAGAAGCACAGGAAACTGGAATAATTAAGAAGTTTGGACAAAATAGTCTAGCATATAAGCAGAACAGACAGAGAACGGCAATTGGTTATTACCTTTGAACTTGTAGTTTTCTCCCTCAGAATGTTGGCTACATCCAAACCCAAAACTGCCGACCTTCGAATTTCTGCCTATAAAATAGCCAAATGACAAGTAATGCAAAAGCAAATACCAATTGTACAAAACAGATAGTGTGTGGCAAGTAATACATAAACAAATATCAATTGTGCAAACGAGATAGTTCAGTGCTCTAGCGTTCAGAAAATAAAAACCAAATGTATAATATCATTTTGATGTCAACAATGAGACATGGTTCAATCTGCAGCCAAAGGATAATACCTCCGAATGCTCCAGACCCAAAAACACTTTTGGATCAGGTATTTCTTGCGATGAGTCCAAATGTTCATCTAGTATCTTGCAGAGAAAATCATAGGTTGTATTGACTTTTGTGGAAGGCATATTAGTGTCCTAAAGAAATTCACATGACGAATAAAAAGAAAAAAGAAAAAGAAATTAGTACACTTCACCTTCACCAGAAAATGAATCAACGAGAAAGTTAAGGACTAACCTTTAAGAGACTAAAGATAGCTTGTCTGGATTCATCAGGATACGTCTCACATATTGACACCAAAATCTGTTTGCCTTGGCTACCTGATAAAGAAGGGACAAGTTTCTCAAAAGGAGATAAAAGTGCTACAAGTGTAGACTCATTCCGCTGGAAGCATATACCAATTCTGCAATTACTGTGCAAAACCAAAGCAAGAACTAGAGCATAAGAATTGCAGACCTGAGCATAGATACAAACCTGATTTGGGTGATTCCAAATTAATGTTGCCCTTGGATACCTCTATTTGCTTAGAAAGAAGTCTATTGACAATGTGATTAACATGGTCTTTAATAGGAACAGTTCTAATTACTGACAATAAAGTGTGATGGGACGAATCATCAGTAGCACTGCAATGCAAAATTAATTTAATTAGATATTTATAAGCAAACATGTTATAAACATATTTTTACATAGCATACATATGTCTACATATAGGTGTATGCATAACCTACCTATACTCGAGTAATGAGTCCAGAAACACATTTACGAACTTATCGATGTTGAAATCCTTGGTTAATTCTGAAAGAATCTCCGAGACATCCCTTCAAATCAAGAATGCAAATAAATAAGAAACACCAATCCAGATCTTCCAAATTTAAATTTACCAGTCTATGCAATGAGCATAGACATAAGCATATTATTACCTGATATCACTTATAGCATCTACTGTCTTCTTAGGGATCAGTTCCACAGATTGAAGCTAAACAAGAAACACAATTTCAATGATTAGTCAGGAAACACAACTGTCTCATATACTTAGCAAGCTATAAGTAACGCATTCTACACTAGACCAGAGCCAATCATGCTGCGAAAGTATACTAGAGTAGCTAGCCTAAGATGCATAAAAATCAAGTTACTGTGATTTCAACAACTCAACTTACTATTACGCATTGTGATTTAAAAAAATTAACAATACCTGAACAATGTTGATTACAGTCATAAATGACATGCGCAACAATAGCAAATCACTTCTGTCTTTTGCCTCTGCCCTAGCTATGTCAGCCACCAAGTGCAACAAGCTTTTGACAACACTAGAAGCCAAGGTTGCCTTTTGGGATAGTAAACTCGCAATCATTAGAGCCCCAGCCTGTACATAAAATAGACGATAAAATTAATCTCCAGTCTTTAAGAAATTAAGACTTATCGATTTCAAATAAGAACTCAAAACTGGCATGTTTGAACTTGACCTTCTGGTCCTTCCCTCTGGCACCAACTTGTAAACCAGAACTCACATACGGAAATATCCTCTTCACGATCTTGCTATCAACAGTGACAAGCCCTAACACCTCAAAAATGACAGCTGTGCAAAATGCAGTCACTTGTGTCGAGGGTTGATTCTTTTTCGCAGGTGTAGCCTGAAAAAATAATCACTTTCAGGCATTAATGGTAAGAGCAGAGATAAGGATATCGAAAAATCACGAACACTAAATAAGTTCACACATAATCACAAATAGCCTCCAAAACACCCATGTCTCGAATACACTGTTGCACAATGACCTCCCTGGGCAACCGTGCTCCTGATGTCCTAACTCCATCAAGGAACTTCCATCTACTGTTTCTGTACCCAATATTACAGACTCTGTAAGTGTCCTTTATTTGGGAATGCTCTCGCAAACGAAGAAAATGGAAATAAAAATGAAGAATGGCATAGTTCCACATATCCTTCCAAACAAAGCCCTAACTCAGACTTACCCAGTATCGATTAACTGCACTATTTTCACAAATACATGAGTGTCATGGTATGGCAATGAACACAAAATCAGGTCCTCTGCATTGTACACATGGACCCTACATTACCAAAAAAATTGAGACAAATGAATCACAAGGTCCTAAACTCACAAACCAAGAGAAAATATTCCTCAGAATAATAACCCTTTGTAGTGAAGTGGGATGCATACTTGTATCTGCGAATCAAATACTCCAATGTCTTCAAAGCAGAAGAGAACTCAAGATATCCCGATAATAACCGTAAATAAGAGCTAATGGAGACATCAATTCGTTTGTTTTCATCTTGACCAACCAACTCTCTATCCAGCTCCTTACTCTGGTGGCTGAACAGATCATTCTTGTAATTGCTAAAGCGCACCTCCGAATTTATCAGCCCCTCCAAACCTGATTTAATCAAAGATACAAACTATTAGGACTAAAATCGCACGCAGTACATAGTACCGAATGCTGAATAAAAGGATTTAAAAATGAAAAAAAAAAAAAAAAANATGAAAAAAAAAAAAAAAAATCGTCTAGGACGTGATATTTTAATCAATACCAGAGAGGGCAATCCCGTGGATGGTATCGAGGTCAATATCTGCAGCTGCTTTGGCATCGAATAGAACCGAAGGACGAGTTAACGGCCTCCTCCTACCAGGTTCAGGGTCACTAGAGGCGTTTAGGATGGTTTTGATTGCCTGTAGCTGGGATGAAATTGAAGTTCCCGCCATTGACTGTTTTCTTATGAACTAAGAACGAAACCGACGGGTAATGGAGTTTGAAAGATACGACCTCCTCAGCGGAAATTTCTGTGCAGCGGCGCGGATGGCGGTGGTGGTGAAGGGTCCTATCTGTGGGAGGAGAAGGGTCAGAAATATTGAGACAAAATAGGGTTTAGGGTTTTGGTCATTTTGTGTGATTAGGTCCAAAGTAAATGCATTAAGTAGAGCAGTAATGCTATGGAGCCAACAGCCAATGGGACAGCTCTATTTGGGGCTGTCCCACATTGGAGCCATGTGAGATAACCCCACATGGAGCTGTCTCATTGGCTGTTGGCTCCATAACGGAGCCAACAGTTGGCTCCTTAGCATTATTGATAGGTTGGGAATCTATATATCTATATCTATATATCTATAAAAAAATTAATGTAAAAAACTTTTTTAGAAACCAAAAATAATTGAGTTGGCTTGACTTTTTATTTATGTATTCTCAAAAAAATCTGAAAAAAAAAAAATTGTGATAAGAAAGATGAAATTGATATTCCCTTTAATTAAGCATGAGATAATCTCATTAATTAAGCAAATAGAAGATGAAATGGATAGTCCCGTTAATTAAGCATTGTATATTCCCGTTTTTTAAGCAAATGGATATTCCCCTTAACATGTTGATATTTTTCCATACATAATTGTCAGATTAATGGATAATTACCGGGATTTGAAATTTAAGGTGATTGCATAATTTGTTGTTGCATTGCAAAAATCACGGGATTTAATATCTATCCAAATACAATCCATAATTATCTTCAATCACTTTTGGTTAATAAAAACAATGTCTTTCAAAAAAAAAAATCGGTTAATACAAACGTGCAGAAAAAAAATTGTATAAAAGGATATTCACTTCCACCATTACAACTCATCATTCACGAGTACAGAGAAATAAAAAATACAGAGAAAAATTTTAACATCACATCGATAATATAATGTTGCTAGGATGGGGTACACTTGATTCCGTTAACAGGAGAAACAAACCTTTTCTTTGTTTGAGAGCAGTCCGAATTATTGAAATGCATCACGAACAGGAGAGGTCGAACGCATTCCATATACTGTTTCATGATGAACAGGTAATATTTACATTTGTTATATCAATTTTATAAGATCTGAGAAATTATTTTAATGGATATTTATAAATTTGTATCATAGGGTGCATTCATTAAATGCATAATACGTTCTCCGAATATGGGAGCATTTCGAGGTAGACTGAATGAAGGCGAGGTGTATGCAATCCCACATGTGGAAACTTGTATTTCATGGAAGAACTTTTCTATGCAAATATGGCGGGATTTTCCCTCAACATGGTGATATTTTTCCTCAACATTAGTGAGGATCAATAAATATTGAAGATATTTAGTGTTTGATAAGAATTTCGATTTATATTATGGATTGTATTATTATTTCGTGTAGTTGAAGCTTATTATTTCTATTATGTTTGGTGGTCAACATTTTATTTGTGTTTTATTATTGATCATTGTGGGAAATTTTTAATGATTTACAATTTCAATTTACTGAATTTTTTTTTTTTCGATGAATCATTATAGGCTTAAAAAATGTTATTTTAGTTTTTTATTTTTTTTTTCTGATATCTCTAAATAAACAATTAAAAAATTTCAATGAAGAAAAATCTGTGTATCCTGCAAAAAAAGGAAAATATTTAAATAAATATTTCAAACTCTAATGATTACAATAAAAAATTATATTAACAATAAAATTTTTTTTTACCATTTTCATTTATATCATAAATACACCTCGGGGTTACCTCTAGATTTTCTTAGATACTAATCACTTTAATATAAATAATAAGATAATTTAAATAATCTGATATTAATTATTCCCGAGATTAACAATTTATAATTTAGTAGATAACAAATCATCATCAATTTTTCCTAATATAACTGTGTCTATTAGTAAATCAAGTTCGTGTTATTTAGATTTCAATTTTAATTTTATATTTCCATTAGTAAATCACTTTATTTCGACTAATTAAGATTAAGATATTACATACTAATCGCTTTATTTAATATAATAATATAACTTAAATAATGATATATCAATTACTCCCATTATTAAAATTTTATAATTTAGTTAATCGAAATTTAAAAAGATATTGTGGACTAATTAAGTTATTGATAAAAAATGTTATAGATTTAACATATATATATATATATATATGAAACGTGATATAAGTATCTTATTCCTCTTCATTAAATATTTAAAAGATGTGTAGATCGCGTAACAAAAAGAAAATCAAAGTCAAGAGTACTAAAAGATTTGTTTCCTGTATACTTCTCATTCCTATGATATACATGTTCCCTTATTTACGTATATCCCTTATCATATAATACATATTATATTATTATTTAAATTATTATTTCCAAATTTTTAAAAATAAATCTTGTAATGCATGATTTATCTTGCATATATCAAGACAAACTTTCTCCCTTTGACCATGCCTCGAAATTAAGCTAAAATGGCTCATTTATCCCTTAAAAATACTTAGAAAAATTTTATAAAAATAAATAAAGATAAAGAATGGAAATTATAACTTGTAAACATAACAAATCTATATTCAATACTTAGAAAGGCCCATCATGTGATCCTAATCTGATTTCCATGATAAAATTCGTGACTTAATGAAAAATTTCCAATTTACAGAACCGAATTCTGACTTAAAATGAACGGTTACCGAAAAATCGAAAATTCTAAAAATTTCAGATTTCCATCTTTTGCTTTTTGGCCTTTTTCCTTTTTATGCTGAAAAATTTTAACTCTTATTAATGATCTTGAAACTTGTAAAAAATACAAGAAAATAAATTTTTCGGAAACGAAATCGGACTTAATTATCGACTACAACCGAACATCGAAAAAACTCGAAACTTTTTTTTTTTTCCAACGACATAACAAATTTCATTCCAAAACAAATGGAGAATGTACACAAGGGATAACCCCTACCAAATAAATACAGAGAGGCCATGCACAACTGCAGCCTAACCGAAACAGAAACCCAAAAACAATAACATACATACTAATCGAGCATGCTAATACATCCAATGGACTAATCAGAATACAGACTTTTCCGCAAACTAAAGACAAACCACTGCTAATGCTAGCCTAGCCTATCCTCAGTTCAACACTAAAATGAATTCGAGCTTGAGTTTGAGAAGTCCATCCAATCCCTACATGCAGCCTTTATGATCCATCTTTCTGGTAGTTTCTCTCCTTCAAAAACCCAAATATTCCGGGCTCTCCAAAGCCACCACAGTATATAGGTGGATAATTGGATTCGGTGGTTCAGATATTGATTTAGAAGGCATAGAGCTGATCCACCACCACCATTGCTTGAAGCTAAGCTGCTCTTGACTGACTCTGTTCCATTTCACAGGTGCAATCTTCCACACCTTCTGTGCTCTTTCACAAAGGAACAGCACATGTTCCTGGCTTTCTGCAGCCTCCCCACAAACTTTACACCGGATATCAAGATCAAGACCCCTGGATTGCAGATTCACATTTACGGGCAAAATATTATTAATACATTGCCATATGAAATGCTTAACTTTCCCAAGTACCTTCAGATCCCAACACCTTAACCTGGCTTTTTTGTTGTTACCAGCCAAATAGCTACACTCAGCCACCTCAGACCTGCATACATTTGCAGCAGACAAGATCCTATAAGTGCTTTTAACAGAAAACTTCCCTTTGTCAATGAAAGGGCACTGCCATTGATCAGCCAACAAAGGGTTCAGTGTTTTGATATTCAAAATTTTTGCTGCATCCTCCTCAGAAAATAATGCTTGAACCAGATTTTGATCCCAACTGCAGCCACCAGCAATTAACAAGTCTTTCACCCAGAACATTTGCTCATTTATAAGCACCCTTAAGGAAGGTTTCCCCCCAGCCACTCCTTGCACCCATTTGTGATCAGACAGCTTGGCCCTAGCACCATTTCTTATCAAAATAGTTAGGTGATTCTTGAGCACAGGGAGAACTGAAGCCCAAGATTTCCACAACCAGGAATCACCATTAGAATTCCTCCAATCAAAAATGCTAGAATCAGGAAAATACTTACCCTTTAAGACTCTGCTGACCAAAGAATCTGGTTGATCTATGAGCCTCCACAATTGCTTCAGAATCAGAGCTTTGTTCAGAGTTTTGATGTCTAAGAAACCCAGTCCTCCATCAGCTTTAGCTCTGGTCATTTTATCCCAAGATTTCCAGTGAAGGCAGTGGTCTTGTGATCTGCTTTTACTCCACCAAAACTTAGCCATCAGCCTGCAAATGTTTTTACACAACCCAACTGGAATCAGAAAACATGACATCACAAATATTGGTAAAGCCTGCAGCACTGACTTAATTAAGACTTCCTTCCCAGCTGTTGATAGAAGATTGTTTTTCCAACTCTCAATTCTGCACCTAACTGAATCCTCCACAAATTGAAAAGCATCCATTTTAGATGCCCCAATCCCCAAAGGAAGACCCAGGTATCTAGAGGACCTCTTCACCACTACACCTCTCAAAATAGTGCTTATGTTCACAATCAAATCAGGATCACAGTTTTTACTCAAAAACATTGAAGACTTATGCAAATTTACTTTCTGCCCTGTGAAACATTTATATTTATGCAAAATCTCCAACAACAGCCGAGCATGAGATTCATCAGCCTTGCAAAACACTAGAGCATCATCAGCAAATAAAAGATGTGATAACATAGGGCCCTGCTTAGAAATTCTGATCCCCTTAAACTGACCACAACTGCTCTTAAAATGCAAGTAGGATGATAGCACTTCAGAAACAATAATGAACAAATAAGGTGACAGGGGATCACCCTGCCTAATCCCTCTAGAAGCTGTAACAAAACCACAGTTTTCCCCATTCAAATTGAAAGAAAAAGTAGGGTTAGAGATGCACCCATAAATCCACTTCACAAAGATCCTATGGAAACCCATTTTCACCATCACTTTCCTGATACTATCCCATTCCACTCTGTCATAAGCTTTTTCCATATCCAATTTAACAGCCATAAATGTATGAGGCCCAGATCTATGTCTATGGAGAAAATGAAACACCTCATGAGCAATCACCACATTATCTAATAAATTCCTCCCCGGGACAAAAGTTGTTTGAGCACT